TGAGTTAAGAGATGCTGCTTTGGGATGTGTTGCACATTTTAAATATTTGAAAGTGTTGTGAGTTAACATATGCCTACTCTACTTCTTTACAGTAGGCTTTACTGGATTTTGCAGGTCACAACATTTCTTTTGCTTCTGCAACAAACTACTAAATGGATATTAAATCAAATTCATTTTATTGCTAAAGATTTTCTAGAATATGTTTGTAAAGGGGAGGTTCAGTTACTGAAAATATGTGCTTGAGATTCGCTGCAGAAAATCGTGTCGGTAATAGTCACCACCTAATTAACCCTTTCAAAAAAAACATTCGCGTTTCTGTAAGTCGCCCCGGAATATCGACCTCAAAGAATTCTCCAACGGAACCCTTGGCGCAGTATTTAGTTACTCAGCGAATAAAAATGGGTTGAAAAGTAGTGTAAAATTTGAAAATCACCATTTGAATTAGATTCTTGTAATGTATACAATTAACCTACGTTTTTGATTACGCTACCACTACAATTTTTAGTAAATATTAGCTCGCCTTATCGCGATTTATGATTAATGCTCTGTTAACCTTCACTTTAATTAAATAAATAGAAAAAATAGCAATTATTTAGTAAAATAAATAGGATTATATTTTTATTAAGCGTGGACTGCACTGAAGCAAAATTATACAGAGCTATTTAAAGCATATAAAGTGCTGAATCAAGGCTACATTAAGAAAGAGGTTACTCTTAATTGATGTACCTATTTCACACAACATATATCTGTATTGTGCGGTATAGACTGGCATAGCATGTCACTCACGGATGAGACCAGATGGCACACTCTCCTCCGCTAAAAAGATTAGAAAATGCCACAGGGTACTTTGACTCCAAGCAAAATAGTCGAATGTTACTCCATTAAAGATAACGATTAAGTATGTGTGTATGGTTAAACTTAAGTAATATCAAGATAAAGCGTTACGTCATCTGATCTTAGTAAGCATGCATTATCAATATTTTGTAACACTATAATGAGTTTTTAATACACTTTGGATCGAACCTTAGTAATCAATTTTTTATTGGAGGATGGTCCAAAGCTTGAAAAGTTAGCAATTTAAGTATTCAAAAATGCAGAAAAACTTTCCGGTCCTGAGAATAAAAAATACCACCAACCCGTGGAATAGGATTCAACTTTACAGCTTCTTGCAAATCCACTCAGCCCGTCGGTTGGTAACTAGCTACAACCAACCCAAATGAAAGTAACGCTTATCCACTGAAGATATCAAGTGGCTTAATCAACTGTGGTATTTTTAGTCATTCATATGTACGAGTGTACATCATGAATTAAAGCAATCTGAACTTAACACAAAAGTCGCCAAAATTTCAAGAAAAAATCAGCTCCTTGAAATAGTAAAGCTGGTATCATCAACAAATGGCTGGTACGAAATGATTATGTAAATCCAAATAAAGGAGGAAATTAAATTTAGCTGATGAGTAATCAAAAAAGGCACGGCATTTTATATAAGAGGGTAAATATCGCCTTACTAACAACCTGGTAATTGTGATAATTAGGTAAGCAGTGTGCCAAATTTACAAATAAACTTACCTACCGCACAACACCAACCTTGAATATAACTACTGCATGCAATCATTGTTGCGATCAATGTAAACTGTCACGGGCAATATAATCTTTTATTGCAATTTGCACTAGATCGAATTAAGGTTCCTATTTGGAATAAGTATACCTTCAGAGCTTTTCAAGAAGTTAAAGTCAAATTTGAGTCACGATATATTTGGATGACTTGTTAATTACATGGTCTACTCTAGAAGGACATACCTTGATTCTTGAGGAAGTTCTTCAGCGAGCGATGGAATTAAACATCAAATGCTATATGTGAGTACTACAGGTAATAATGTGACATAATTTAAGACATATTTGTCGATAGTGACAAAGTCGAAGCATATGCATTATGCAGGATTAGAAATCCAAAGGAAAAAACAATTACAGGCATATTTAATTATTTTAGAAGAATTGCTACAGGAAAAGGTCATCGTATTTCATTTCTCCGACACTCCGGACCACAGAGGGCCGCCGGAGGCGGGCTGCTCGGGCTAGAGCCTCTTCAGCCAGAGAACGGGAATGTAAGGATAGGTAAAGTTAGGGATGGGAACGGAAGGAACGGAGTTAGGGTGCTGAGAGGGACGAGTACTGCTCCAACATTCGCCTCGTAGATTTCAACATAATACTAGCATTATGCGAAGCTACGTATGTCTGAGGAAACCCCCTTGACAAAACCCCAGGCAGAGCAGTCGGCAGCGGGATTCGAACCCACAACCACTCGAATAGCATCGGTGAGCGCCACCACTGCGTCACTCGCCAAGGAACACCGACCAGCCATCGAAAATGTGTTACTCGCCAAGCCAGTTTTGTTTTCCATTTAATTCTGTATTATCAAGCAAAGTTAGCGTTTGTGTGAGTTTAGTGCGTCTGAAAATCGCAAATCTTGTACGACCAGATTATTTGGATTATTTAAAAAAAAAACTAAATAGGTAATGTTAAGATTTCCGAACACATTTTTGTCATTGTCAATAAATTAATTGTGTGTTTAACCGAATCCTTTGTGCGGCCTAGATAAAGTTTTCATGTCAGATTTTTCGATTCGTGCCTAACATTTATTTCAGGTGTGAATCAAAATAAATTCTTTGGAATTTTCGGAAGATGCCACCGAGTCTCAAATTGAGGTTTTAAGTCAGTATTTCTCTTAATAGCAGATATCGGATGTCTGCCTGTTTCAATTTTAATTTTTTTATTTGAGCTAGCAGGACAGGTTTGGATACCTTTGAAAACCCTTTCAGACCTTTATAGATGAATAAAAGCTTGCGTGGGCTCTAAAAAGTTCTCAAAGATGCAAAAAATCTCTTACAAGCTCTTCTATTAGAAGAAGAAAAGAATCTTAAGAGCCATAAATGCTTTTGGAAAGCTACTGGAGATTTTTTGAAACCTCTAGAAGCTGGTTTTGATTTTTTCTAACTATACATACCTATAACCATGCGGTTTTATATCTTTTAAAGGTTCTGAAAAATCTTAAGGAACTATTAAAAGCTATTTCACCTAAATGCCAATTAAACAGGCTCTCAGAGATGACCTTTAGACCCGAATTCTCACCATTACCCTCATTTATTATTATCATTTCTATTAAAGCTTTAAAGACAATTAAAGCTTAATCAGAGCTTTTAAAAAAGAACTCAAACGCTTTTCATGGCATTCCTCTCAAATATAGTTAAAGCAGGACTGTTAGAGACTATTAAAACGTAAAACCCAATTTAAGACCATCGAATCCTCCAAGAGACCCTTGTTCCTAAAGACTCTTAAAAACCGTTAAAGTAATTTTTTAGGAAGATACTTTGCATCTCTTTCGAAAGTCTTCTGAACACATTAAAGTAGCTTATAAAGCTCTGATATGGGGCAAACAAGTCCTGCAAAATACTCTAGCTCTCGTCTGAACCTAAAAAGGTTTGACAATAACCTACGGTGCGGGGGGGAAGGGGTAACATCCACGTAATTTTAGAAACTTATAATGAAAAAACCAAAAGCTATGAAAAGCATACAGAAAGTTCTGGAGTTCTGAAAGGCAAGATCTCTTAAGGGGCACGTGAAAGCTTAAAAAATGCGTTATATAGTTCTGTGCCCTCCTTAGAACTACATAAATCTCCAAAGCTAAAAAAAGTATATAAATCTTGCGGCTCTAAAAAGGCTTCAGAGAGACCAGTAACAGACTAAAAAAAACTCGGAACAATCTAGGATATTGACTTTCATACACATCGAAATTTTTGAAAATCTACCTTCATGCATTTCTTACTTACAGGAAATAGATTCACAACCAATGTAAAAGGTAAGCAACTTTTCAATAATTGGTTCATTATAAGAATTATAGTTCACTATAAGAATAGTATAAAGAATAATTAACCAACTCGCCCGATATAAAACGTTTGGCTGCATTCCAATTCATGCATACAGACCTGATATGTAGGCTATTAACCCAAACCACCTACCATTTGGTAGATCTTAGACGCAATAACTTAATGTAAAGAATATATATTTGTCATTAAGAAATAGCGCTCTTAAAAAAAGTTCCTGAAGTCTAGATTAGTTCACACAAATGCAGTTGAAACTTAACACAAACTGTGGAAAATCACTTATAATTCCAGTAAAACAAAAGCCACCTCTCTCTCTACTAATTAAAGAATCAATGAAAAAATGGGAAACGAGGAACTGATTCATAAGCGCCTTCATGCGATAGTTTCTTATTGTTTGGTTTTGCCATTCAAGAAAACATCTCTTGATTATACACCAACGAAAATTTGTGAAATTACGCAAAATGTTAATTTGTTTTACGTTCTGCGGTGATTCTTGATTTGTTATCGACGATTTGCAATTTTAGAGTAGTTGCACCTATGCCAAAATTATGAGTTTAGTTTTGGCATTGATTATAATATACACAATCAGTGATTAAAGAAACAACGATGGTTTATCGACTCTTACTTATAGTTTCCCTTCAATGCTAATTCTAAACGTAGAATCACTATTAATTAATATTTCGCCAATGCTATGATGAGTATGAGCCATTAATTAGTCGCGCAGTCTAAATCCCTAGCAAGCTAGGCACTACATTTATTTTTGGCCAAATGGCTAGATTTGTTTGTTTCGTGTATCCCATACCTTAAAAACGTGATTTTCAAAAGAAGTGACGTCCAACAACTCATTATGTAACAATAAAATTTAGACGAGTTAGTTAAGTGAACATAAAACTAAAAAGGAATGTAGACGATAGGGAGACAATTAGGTAACAATTTGGAAGAAAACCACATTATATTCCTATAATTCTATCTGGGATACAGTGACACATAAACTGTACTGAAATAAACGACGTGTGGCAAATAAACAATTTATGGACAAAATTGATTTGTACGATGAACAACGTAAGTTTACTAAACAATTGAAAAAGTAACAATACTTAACACTAGTTATATACTTACATCCGTGTAGGTCAAGGCTGATTCGAAATACACAAGTTAAATGTTGAATGATAATCTGTTTCCCTTGAAATGACAACTGAGTTCAAAGACTACACACTATCGTTTTTGTAGTAAATTGCAATACGTCACAGAGACAACAAAGAGATAACAGACAATTGTAATTCAAATTTTCAACAGATTTGCTGCATTCAAACCAATCTCCTAGAAAGGAAAGTTCCGTTGAGTAATGCGAGTTCCAGAAACAAAGATACTTATGCACTACAACACTTTTTTTATAAATGGCTAAACTCATTTAAACACCTTCGTGTAATAATTGTGTGCGCCTAAGAAGACCACCAGTAACTTTCTGTGTACAAAAGTCCATTCCGGTAAGCCGGCGTTAGTAAGCAAATTACTGCGTGTAAAGTGCAAATACTTTTGGCAAACGCTTCTGGTCAAAGTACATCTATTTTTAAGAAAGAAAATATTAGACAAAGTTAAAATGTGGCTATTTATACTGCAACATCTACTCGTTTGTTAATGTCCAAACGTAAGTAGCGTGATCAGCGTGGACAAAGTGTGCGAAACAGCGCCAAAGATTCCAAAGAGTAGGATGCACTGTTAATTGTTTCTAATAAATCTCTTAGGTAAACAAATTGCGTTGCAAGATAACCCCAATTTTCAATTGATGGATGACAGAAACTAGTTTCTTTGCAAGGTTATAAAGGTACTTGACATCTACCTACATCTTAATACCTGCAAGATTGTAAACAACATAGTTTTTCTTCAAACATTACCAAACGTTTATTTTTATTTGTTCAGTAGGTTTACCGTTTGGCGCGAAGTATGGTATTGTGGTGCAGATTCTCGTTTGTTTCTTAATCTCGTTGGCATGGTGTAGGTACCTATCTTCAAAATATGGCATCACACAGCATATAAGTCCAACTTGAAATGTTCATTTGTTTATTGTGGCTATTTTTTTTCTTTTACAATTCCATGGTAATGGCACAAATTATAGGCTGTCACCTGCCACAATATTAACATGCTAGTACCCCAAATCACATACACAGGACTTGCAGACTTACACGTTACGTTTTCATCTGTTCATCTGTACTTGCATGTTACTGTTACATTGTTAAGCACAACATTGAGAGTAAGTAAAGAAATAGACGGACATGCTTATAAAATGATAATAGTCACTCTCACTCTCACGATATTTCGTTCTGGAGATAATTGCAATGCAAATTTGGACCCCACCGACGATACGTCTCATTCATATCTTCCATTTTCCCTTTGAAGAAATCTCGCATTTAAAGCTTCAGTCTTTTTCCTTCACTTTTGACGGGACTTTATTGCCAACACTAATGAGGAAACACACATATTCCTAGGAATAAAACAAACACTTACGTGTAATACAAAAGAAAACATAGATAATATTATGTATTAAAACCGACTAATAAAGATAATGTCCACACAACTAAATGCATCAAAAAATAAAACCAAATCAGCAATACCAATACAATTCGGAGTCACACAATGGACAAAAACATACTAGCCATTGACAGACTAACAAGAAGAATACTAACACTGTGTTTCCCGGGTCATTTTGACTCATTTGTTCATCAACCCAGACCTCTAAACATTTAGTGTCATGATACTGTCGAGCTTTGAGCTGAAATTATTGTTGAAAAAGTAATCTAACAACTTGGTTCTGTTTTTGTTGACTAAAACGTTATCACATTTAGCACATTCAAGTACTGTTGCATAACATAGGTCAATCTGTAAAAAGAAATCTTCATAATTACAAGGGAAGAGCAGGAGACTCTAATATCAAGTATCCTAACAAAAATGATCAAATACTTTCTTTCAGATAATAGATAATACGTAGATCCCGTATTTACTCCAAAGAACTGAACTTCCACATTATCCGATTTATGTGGCTCAGTGGTAGAGCGTTGGACTATTTAACCGGAGGTCGGGTGTTCGAACCTGGAGTGACGTAAGCATTTTTCATCTGTGGCAGAAATAGGAATTTCCTTAGATCAGTGTCGAGCATTCTACCGGCTACTCCGAATTAGGTTTTCCAGCAGTTTTCCTGGTTCGTAATTATCTGTAATTTGGTGCAAGCCTGTTGAGATGAATAGATAAATAAATAAATGAATGAATAAATTAATAAATGAACAAATGAACAAAAGAACAAGTTAACAAATCCATAAATTCGTTCTGTTCGGTGGCACCTGAGGCAACAGAAATCTTTACGGTTACGGTGCGCAACGAACGCTTTCTTATTTGCATAGATATTCTAAAAACCAATGGCAACTTTTTTTTATGGAGAAATTTCTTTGAAATTTTAAACATAGATGCTTTTAGTAAAGAAAAACATGGCGCTATGTCTTTTTTGGAGCAGTGATCAATGCATGGAAAATGCACTAAAGTTACTCGTTTTACTTAAGACATGTAACGGTTTATTTTCTTCATTACTAGCATTATTATTGTTTACGGTCTATTTTGTTGAAAAATCCTCGTAACTTTTGAATAGGTGGCTCCATCTTTTGTTGGAATTTGAACCACGCGATTTTAGCGCGTAGTGCGTTTTGACTTCCACTTTCTTCCTATCGAGAAACTTATCCAGTGGAATTTTAATTGCCATGATCCATATTTATTCATTTCTGGCAATTGGATTCATTAAATTGGGGATTCCGCAGTAATTTATAACCTTAAGAAAAGGCAACACTCAGACTTAATCAACTCCCATTTATCCACCCACTGTAATTCCATTTTGAACAATTCCTCAAATAAGGGAAAGGCTGCCTGGACCATAATAAATAAGTTCAAAGGAAAAACTACTACAACAGTCAATATCCCAGCCTTAAAAGTGGAGGGCAAATTGATTGAGGACCCGCACACTGTAGCTGAGTTGTTTAACAACTATTTTATAAGGGCGCCGTCTGAAATATCTGGTAAAATTCCATATTCTGAATTTAGTGCTGAGCATATGATGCAATTCAATCCTAACAGTATGGGCATCATACCCTGTACTGAATCAGAAATTGATGCAATCATCTCCAAACTGAAGAATACCACCTCCTGTGGTACCGATGGTTTTCCTGTGGTTCTTATTAAAAGAGCCAAGCGCCAACTACCTACTTGCATCAATAACTTATCTGGTAAATGAATCGCTAATGAATGGTCACTTTCCAGCGGTACTAAAAACGGCTGCTGTTGTTCCTATTTTTAAAAAAGGAGATCCTCAGCTTGTGTCAAACTATAGGCCGATTTCGTTGCTCTCTGTGTTGTCCAACATCTTAGAATATGCCATGCTTAAAAAGATAACTGCTTTTTATACAAAATACAACATTATTGCAAGGAACCAACATGCTTTCACAAAAAACAAGTCTACAATGACAGCTCTTATGAGTTTCTGTTCAAATTTAGTTAAATTTCAAATTAAAGTTAAGTGGGAGAAGTAACGCATTCCCCTTCCTTACTATCTTTTCCAAGAGAGCACTTTTGGTTTCGATGAGGCGCGTAACGCGAGCGATCCTTATAACGTCGACTTAAAATTAATAACGTGCGACTCTACAACGCAAGTGCTTAGAAACCCAGAAAAAAGGTGTCTACCGCAGGGAGCTCCCGAAGAAAAGGAAGTCGAATACCAAACAGTAAGTGACAATTCCTTGTTTCTTTACACCTTTTGAACAGTTTCTACAACAGCCTTTTGAAAATGCTTGAAAATAAAGAAAATCCTCTTGCAATTTTCTGTGATCTGAGCCGTGCCTTTGACTGTGTCCCACATGACATCCTTTTACATAAACTGCACATGTATGGAATTAGAGATATTGCTCAAGAATGGTGCAAATCCTATTTACATGATCGCACTCAATTGGTACGACTTACATCGGGTGGACACCATATTACTTCAAATGTGCAAGATGTCAATATTGGAGTCCCGCAAGGTTCCATTCTGAGACCTCTGTTATTCATTACTTTCGTGAACGATTTAGTTCGATATATTGCTGATGCAGCAATTACCATGTATGCAGATGACACATCGATTTTGCTAGGAGAAGTTGCACTGGAAGATGTCATCAGTCATGCCACAGAGGTACTGGAGCCGCTCTTTAAATGGTTCTGCTCAAATAAGTTATACCTGAATACTGATAAATTTTATGTTATTCTATGTGGGTAGAATCTATAACGAAGATACTGCCTTGCTACGGACAAACAATAATATCATACACCAAGTGACCAACGCAAAATTTCTAGGAATTTATATAGACAGTTCTACAACATGGGAAAGCCATTGCAATAATATTATAAATAAATTAAGCTCTGTCTGCTACCAGGTCAGGTTTCTTCGTACCTTCTTATATATCAGCACTCTTGCTTGGTGGGTGCCAAAAGTGGGGTATCCTGCAAACCATTATTTCAAGAGCTACGCATAATGACATTACCCTCTCTGTATATATATGAGGTGGCTAACTATGTCAGAGGGAACCTCAACAAATTTCGTACAAACCTAGCCATTCAGGGGAGATGTACAAGATTCGGCAAGAAGTTACTATTACCACAACATCGATTAAGGCTGACTGATGCCAGTTTTAAGTGTATGACGATTAGGATCTATAACAAACTGCCCAAGGAGATAATAGATGCACCAACAAAAGCGAGTTTAAGTTTAAAAGATAGATTAAAGCACATGTTAATCCAAAATTGTTACTGGTAATATATCTGATTTTCTGTATCAATAGCTAGGCTAGCTTTTTCCAATAGTTTAATCGACGTATCTCTTACTTTTGTTTTCGTGTATGAGATCAATAAACGTAAATAAATAAATAAGTAAATAAATAAATTAGCACGTATCTCCGTAGGGAGGATATAATTTGTGTTCTTGTTATCGTAAGTACCGCCATTTGCAGTTACCGTAATTGAAGTGTACTTTTTCTTTAGGATTCGGCTGTTTAAGAGCGATGTAAATGTTAGTTTATCAAGAAAGAGAGGTTACCTTTGATTTTCTTTTAATTGTTGGGTTCAAGTGTTAGTTCAAAATCTAGTTTCAACGGACCAACTTAAGTTTCGGAGACGTTTTACATACAACCCTTGTTTGACATACAAATTTAGGTAACCTTGGATTAAAATCGCCATTGCGAGTTCCAACACCGTACAACACTTATACTTGGCCCTATACGTGCGAATTGTTGTCCGGAATATCAATTTATTTGTGGAAACTTTTCATTCAGTAATCAATAATTGTGAAGTGTATTTTTGGTTTCAGATTTGGTTTTGGAATAAACAAGTATTCCTGTTATTACTACCCTCGGATCTTCTCAATTTCATACGGGGAGAGTTAAGTTAGAAATTGAGTGACGCTCAACCATTGGTGGGTGCAA